ATCTCAGTGGCTCCTCTTTTTGCTGAGATATTTGCATCCCTGAGCCCTGCAGCAAATCCTTTCCAACAGTGGAATGTCAGCTATCGGGGAAGCCAGATAAGGTGGATATTTTGGGAAGGAGGACTTCCCCAACGTCTATTTCTCAGATCAAATTGCTTTGGGACAATTATGACAATGATTTATTGAAGTAAAAAGGCTATGACTTTGTTCTTGCCATAGAAAATGTCTATGTTTGCTTAGCCTAGCTGATTTCCTGGTATCGGAGAAATACACTGACATTCTATACAAGAATGTTTGTCTTTTTTTCTTCTCTTTTGCCTATTTGCTCACACTAAGTTTTTTACTCTTGGGAAGAAATTTTAAAAATACTTCACAGCTGCTTTGGAAACAGCTGTATAAATGCAAGAAATTAATAGGAAAAGCCCAAACAAGCACCAAGACAAACTAAGACCAACATTATTAAACCATAACCTAAAGATAGTCGAAGTAAAATATACATACATGTTGAGTTCAAAACATCTGCGATTTAATTAAAATCTAGCTTGTGCTTGAAAAAGAATGGCTAGGCAAAATAGCAAATCTGACACTTGAAAAGCTATAAATCATTCACACACACGCACACTGCACACATGCGTTCACACAATCATTTCCTGAACCCGTAAACTAAAGCTGCCTGAATGTAAAAATAGAATAAGGTCTTCAGCGCACAAAGTTAGGGAGTTGAACGTTTTTATGAGAAGCCCTGCCTGCTCGCCTTGGACATAGCAGAGGACATTTATTCATAGTCATATCAATTAGTCATCTTGTCCCAATCCATGCAAAATGATTACCTACTTTATCGCCCTGAGTAATGTGCAGATAACTCACCAAGCGTCCCTGATGGCTGACTGCCTCCATTTGTTTTCTATTCATTCCTGGGACAGGAGAATTATGAAGCTCTGTGTAGGAAATGCAGTATTTGTCCTGCACAAACTTCTTTATCTTTTTTGTCCCATTGTTAGCTATATTTTGTAGCCAACTGGCAGCCAGTGGTCACATTTCCATGAAGATAAATTTCATATTGGACCTGCTGTGAGTTGATGTCAGTATAAATCTGTGCCAGGATGAACTCGAAGCGATGGTGAAGAGGAAGTTTCTGTATTTTATTTCTGTGTTATATTGCCCTGTTTTCCTGATAATGGAGCCAGGGAAGGTTTGGAACTGGGACCTATTTTCTGTCTTGCTCATCTCCCAACAATGGATAAATAGACTCAACCCTCCCTGTTGGCCAGACTTCAGTCTGCTTATCAGTGAGATGTCCTTAGACCCCGGGCTGCATGATCCAGTATCCCTACCTGCAGGCTGAGCTGTTCCTGCCTGGGGTGACTTGGTGTTAGAGCAATTGTGATTCATGCAAGGCTGTGCTGCCAGCAAAAGCCCGTAGTGGTGCTTCCTGTCTATTATCAGCTGTTTGACATTTGATGTGTGTCCATTTCATGAGTCCCGTATAAGCCAAATGGCATAGCTCTAAGATAACATTTTGCCCTGTTTTCCTCCCATTTCAAAATGAAGTCAAGTTTTCTGTATGGGTAAGCTCAGTTCAGAGTCCGGGGGGAATTCCAACGTTAAGATGTACTGTTTGTGGAGTAATCCTAGTAACGTGTGGAATTTTTGCCATGATTTTTTTTTTCTCTTGCAAAGACTACATGTTGAAGAGAAATGCAGGCAACTGGAAATTAGAATCAATTCCCTTCATAACAACAGCAGGATATCAGTTAGAAAAAAATGTTATTTAACTAATAATTGTCAGCAATGAAAATCTGGGAGGACCTGAGGAATGCTCAGTTTGACCTGGGGCCCACTTTGGTGTATTATCCCATCACACAAAGAGATCACATCCAAGGGCTGGTTCACACAGTGGTGTTCAGAATCCAGGAAAGGAATTCTGATTAAATGCATGTTACAAAGATCCTAGGTTGTGTTTCACAACCTGTAACATGCAGAATGTTTTCTCCCTACAGCACTTACAAAATAAACAGTAAAACATATGATGGAGTAAGATAAAATAGGTTCTTTAACCACAAAGCCATTTGTAAACAATGAAGTTATTATGTCAAAGACTGGCTTTTGAACATCATTATCTCCTCCTACCTCTCTTGGTTTGGTTACTCAATTAATTCAACACATGTTTAGTGAGCATCTACTATGTGCTAGGCAGTATGGTGGAGACAGTGAACCAAACTGACAGGAATCTCTGCCATAACAGAGGGAGAAGAGAGAAGAGGAGGAATGGGAGAGGAGAAGAGAGGAGAAGAGAGGAGAGGAGAGGAGAGGAGAGGAGAGGAGAGGAGAGGAGAAGAGAGGGGAGGAGAGGGGAGGGGGGGAGAAGAGAGGAGGGGGAGGGGAGGAGAGGAGAGGGGAGGGGGAGGGGAGGAGAGGAGAGGGGAGGGGGGAGGGGAGGAGAGGAGAGGGGGAGGGGGGGAGAGGAGAGGAGAGGGGAGAAGAGGGGAGGGGAGGGGAGGAGTGGGGAGGGGAGAGGAAATGCAAAGAACAAAATTAAAACAGAAAAAAAGAGGTAGGGGAATGTCAAGAACAGCAGAGTAGCAATCCTAAGCTTTAGCACTGAGACTATGCATTTGTAGTCAGGTCCTGAATCCGGGGGACAAAAGTCACCCAAGTTCTAGTGTGGGTTGAGTGCCAGGCAGGGGCCACAGCAAGTGCAAAGGCCCTGAGGAATGCTGGTTTGTTGAAAACCTGTTATTTTCAAGGGAGGGAGATGAAAACTGTGAAAAAAGCAGCACAGGCTAGGAAGTGCCCCCAAGTGTTAAATATTTTAATTACGTTCTCCCCACCCTTGGGTGCCTGCTGAGCGCCTCTTGTTTTTTTAGAGACAAGCAGCAGAGCAGAAAGCTGAGGAAGAGAGGATTTATGTTCATCTCTTTCTTGTGTACCCTCATATATGCACAACACGGAACCTGGGAATGCTTACCATGGATAATCCTTTAGTTAATTTGTAAGCATGTGTTTTTATATGTAGATTTTATGGTGTCTTTTGTGGTACAGAAGTTTGAAAAAATTTATTGTAAAATGTGACCTTCATACAGAAAGCAATGACAGCCAGCCCAGTGATTTAGCGCAAAGCAAACACACATGTATCCACCCCCCACATCACGAAACCAAACATGGCCAGCACCCGCGCCCCGCTCAGCCTTGCCCTCCCCCCTGCAAAGGGAAACCACTCTTCTCACGTTAAATAGCCACTTCCTAGGCTCTGGGCTTTGAAGAAAGAATAGTAACTGGACCCCCATGAACTAAAGTCCTCCAGCTCCAGCAGCTACCAAGACCAACCCCTGTGTGTTTCACCCCTGCACCACTGCTGCCCAGCTAAATCATCTAAGTGATTCATCTACTTTTATTGAAGGCTAATCTCCAGCAAGTGCCCATGTGCACAGTTCCACGAGTTTTCAGAATTCCTCAGACATGTAATCAGTGATGGAAACACTATGCAAACTTTCTGTAATGACCAGGATCTCCGATGCACAGTAGGCCTCCAGCGCTCCTCCATGGGGTCTGGCAGCCACTCAGCAGCTAGATGAGGTCCTGGGGGAAGGCTTGTGTTGATCTTTTTAACCCCTTCTCCAAGTAGGTTGCTATCAGCTACCCACTTCCCTTCCCTCTCCACCTTCTCCTTCTGATGGCAAAATAGTTTGTTATGGATAGGTGATAGAAATCAGTGTCCACTGAAAGACACGCCAAGACCCCCACCCTGGGAGGCCTCCAAAGCCCCCTGCTCGGCATCCTGCTTCAGTGTGAAGGGACCACCTGTCAGGGGGGTCTCAGAATAGGCCCTGCAACTCATTTCTCTTACTTCTCAGGAGCAGAAGAATTTGGTCTCCCAAGTCCAACCTGAAGACGCCCTCTCACCTCTCTCCCAGGTGACTGGAGCATGTCGGGGTTTGTAGTGTATGGGCTCAGGGAAGAAAGGACAGCAGGTCCAGTCTCTGGTTAATAATTCCCCTTGGGAATGCATTCAATGACAAAGTTTTCCCTGGTGATATTGAGCAGAATTCAGCTCTCCTATTCCTGTATCCCTCCTGTTTTTCTTATGCATCGCTCATGCGATTTTCTGTATTGGATAATGGGCAATGCGAAGCCATGAACACAGGTTCTCTCTAGTTACAGGAAATTTGGGAATGTCAAGACTGTCTAATAAAATCAGAATTTGTATGTGCCAATGCTCAGCACCTGTTTGCTAATAGATGATGTTTACAAGTGAGTCAGAAATTTGTGACTTTATGATATAATTATCTGTTATGCTACAATTATACTCAGACTTTAACTGCATTTTTCATATTCACCAATATTTTAAAATTTTACTTGAATTTATTTCAGAGACACACAGAGAGACAGACAGAGAGAGCTTCCATGCACTGGTCTAAGCCCCCATGCCACAAAGGCTGGAACAGGGCCTAGCTAAGGCCAGAAACTAGGGACTCAACCCAGGTCTCCCATGATATTTTATTAATCCAAGTTCTATCCTTAGTTTACATAATAACAACCAAGTAACTAAAAACAAAAAATGAAAACCAAGTTACTCCTAAGTTTTGCCTTTCTGTGGATTTTTTTTCACTCTAATTTTTTTTGATGTGGTATAGATCAGCCAAACTGGATCTACTTTACCTGGAAGCCTACGTAAAACCACTGGTGCCAGAATACAGAAGTAAAGCATGGTTTTCAAAGGTGGCCTGTGGTACTTGCAGGTAAAGTGATATAATCCCCATTACACAATGGCATTATAAAGCTGCAAATGCCACTGCATGTCCGTGGAGGCTTCTAGTGGGCCTAAATAGAACAATGGACAGTCCTCAAACTCTCAGAACCTACGTTTAGCACTTGGAGAGCTTGGTGGTATAGTGTTGCTTTGTATCAAATATTTTTTATAATAGGAAAATAAAGATAAACATCCAATAACATACAGAATTTTGATCAGCATTCCCAAGATGCGGAAATTGTGACCTTACATGATCCTTCTGCAGGGACGCCGGTTGAAGGGTTACTCCCGATGTCCAGGGTGCACATCAATCCATGGGGATCTTGGATTCAGTAGGCCTGGGTGGCACTCAAGAATCTGTGTTTCTAACGTGCTCCCAGGGTAGGGCGAAGCAGCTTGCCCGCGTACCACACTTTGAGCATCACAGCGTTAAAGAAAGTTCTCTCTCCATGTTAAGATTCTTCAGGTGGCAGACGAGTAAGAGAGAGGGAGGGGGTTATGGAAGACAGAGGGTTGGTTGGCATAAAGGTAAATTGCTTTTTGTTTCCTGTAGTAACTTCTGCAGCCTTTCATGGGAAAGTGAATTCAAGGTATGGAATTCCTGTCTTTTAAGCACCGTCTCTGACATAACGTGTCCCAAGTGAATTTTCAAAGACTTGCCCAGGGTTTTGCTTTCTTGGCTCTCATGGAAATTAACTATGGTCGTGCCAGTTTATGCTTTGAAAAAACATCTCTCTTTATTTTTGTGGGAACCTGCATCCCATAATAACAGTGGATCTCAGTGGGAGCAACATGAAAGCAAATTAACCCTTGAAATTACAGGGAACAGAGAGCAATAAATTCACCCTGGATGGAAGCAGCATCCCTTTCTCCCTTTCATGAGGCCCAGAGCCCCTTTTACAGTCCTGAAATGTCTGTTGGGAGGTGAAGACCAATGGGCCTTGTTTCTAGGCGACTTGACTCTCTCCTTGCGGCTCTCACTGTCCAAAATAAGGTCAAACTGAGGAATATAAAAGAGGATCCCATCAATCTGGGGATAAAACTACCAACAATGCTAAAGAAAAAGGATCTTTTGTATGCCAGTTAAGTTTTACTGTCTCTTGCTTAGTAGGCATGATTCTTCAGTGAGAAGATTCAGATCTTCAGAAAGTATGGTTTCACATGGATTAAATAGCAGAGCTTGGGAATGTGAACTCTGCTCTCTCTAATTCCAGAGTCATTGAAATTTTCTTCCAGACTCCTGGGCTGAGGGCTCCCTGCTAATTTTTTGGCAAAGCTACTTCTTGTGTGCTGCGTCTGGAAACTCAGGGTCTCAATCACTAACAGTTGCATAGATGAATGAATATGCTCATATCACTTCTCTCCATAGAACCCAGCAAGAAGCCAAAATTGTTTTAGGAATCGTGCTTCATACATACGAGGTCTCATATTGAACATTACATGTACATCAAAATCTATGATCAAGGCAGACAATGATGTATAGGGCTTAGACCCTCCTTGTCCTACTGAAAGGCTCACCCAGTGCTTTTGCCACATCTATTTCAAAACTTCAGTGGAGTTTGTTCTCCCTCAAAATAAACAAACAAATAAAAAACACAGAACCACAGTACAAGGAGCTATACAAGGTTCCCAGTCGTGTCAGTGATCAGGTATCATCGCATTTTATAAGAGCTTGAATAGATTTCCTTGAAGCAAAGAAGAAAGAAGGAGGCAGTAGGTAGAGTGAGACTTAGCTAAGAAGAAAAGCTGGACATGAGTCAAGGACAGTGATATGGGATTCGGTTATTAATATGCAATACCCTTGGATGGTTCCTGCCATACCTGAATTCAACAGGAAAAAAATTAATAAAGAAAAAACAAGTTATGATTCTGTGATCCAGAAGTGTTAGAAAACATGACACAGAATGCATCCCCTGCGGTAAGAAGTGAGGTCGCCATTCCCATTTTGTTGACCTGGTATGAATTTCTCTCCTTGAATCTCAAACACTAAGGAATGATGTTCCTGCTACAGACAATAAAAGGAAATAAAACTCCTAGACAAATAACCATACGTATACGTACCCAAACATGAGCACACAGACATAAAGAAACAACAGAAAACAAATGCTACCACCATCATGAAGAGCAAAGAGTCAGAATTTTCAGGCAGTATTTTGCTAATAGTGCTACAAAGAGATATGTCATGTCCTATTGGACTCGGTTTTGTTTCCCATACCCACATAAAAGAATGAGTCACAATATTTTCAAGGAAGCAATAAAAACCTTGACATTATTTCTTAAACAAGTTGTGGAAAAATCTTTAAACACAAAGAGCTCAGGTGTTTGAACTGTTCATTTATAAAATAAAAATAAGTTTCACAAATTTAGCTTCACCTACCCCATTACCTGGCACTTCATAGATCATTTTTTTTATGAATTTTTAGTTATTTGAGCATACACAGATGCCCTTACCTTCTGATTCACTCCCTCAGTGCCCACACCAGCCAGGACTGAGCTAAGGCCAAGAGCTAGAACTCAAACAGGTTCTTCCAAATGGGTGGCTGGGGCACAGTCACTTCCGTGACATGTGTTATCTCCCAGTATCCACATTGGTAGGAAACTGGAGTCGGGAGCCAGTGGTAGTATCAAATCCAGTCATCCCAATGCTGGACACAGGTGCTTTGACCAGTCTTAATGGATAGGCCAAACACCACCTTCACAATTTCTATTTGTAGGGTGCAGGAAAGGAAAAAAAATGATAAAAACAAGAAACATTTTTACCGGTGTTAATAAGGAAAGTAAATTTCAAAACATGAAAGATCTCTTCTATTGTCCTAGTATCAGACCTAGCAAACTAATCACAATTCTCTGCTGTGTTGATAGAAATATGTCTTGAGAATTATTTTGTTTATTTCTATCTTCTCAGTGGAGTCACCTCAGGATCTCTTCTTTTCCACTTTCACCCACGGGAATATATTATGACTGTCCAGTTTTGATTAATTTGGGATTAAAAATGTTAGTCTAGAAGTAGAAGCACCTAAGAACATACAGAGGCTAAGGTCAATATTTTTCAGCCAGGAATGAAAATACCCAGTGGCCAGATGGATGCCGTAGGGTGTCAAGCTGCCTTATATAAAAACTAGAGGTCAAAACGATCTGTTTTCATTGGTGCTGAAAATTTGCCACATGTAACACTGGCTAAAGTCTGATAGGCAAAGACTGGACCTTTTGGTATTGAGATAGAGATGTTGGCAGCACTTTGCCTTTCTCATAGTGGGCAGCACACCCTCCCTCCCCTCCTATCTTCTAATTTGAATGATCCTCCTCTGGGGAGGTGCCCACTGTGGTCACTGTCCTGGGATTTTCAAGTGGCATTTCTACGATCTCAATGGAGCGTCACCGTCTGTTTATTTTGATAAGTCTATCACTGGACAACAGAAGAGATCATCAGAATTTTGAGAATTTCTTCCTGTGAAGACATTACCTCTTCCTATGAATTTGGGTTTTGATTTTCAGGGCAAGTATTTCTTGGTTTGCCTTTCCTAAATTCCATAAAACAACTTCTTGCAGAAAACAAGATTTTTAAAGACTATAAGAATGAAGAGTTGAAAGACAATTCATTTTGCCTTAGATTTCAAATATCTACGGTAGAGAATATACTGTAGGGTATCTGGGAGTGGGTGATCAGGTAGCTCAGCCCAAAGTCTCTTATTGTCATCGAAATGAAACACAACCTAAGTAAGAGTAGCCTGCTCTCAGTGCTTCAAGTCACTAAGAACAAGAATGCGTTTGACTGTGCTGAGACAGTTAATTGGTTTTAGATAAACATCGCTGGGGCTAGGGGGCTCCTGCTGTTCTACCTTACCTCTGGAAGGTTAGAAAACCTAAAAGAATGAGAAGATGAAACTCAAGAAAATGACCTAGAACAGAAAGTGTTCAGATAATGAAAGCTAAACTAAGCCAGAGAAGCAACAACCAAAGAACTCATCTTGGCCTGAGAAAATTTATCAAATCCATATCATATCAGAATTGCAGTCAGAAATGCCAATCTCAAGAATGCATTTGGAAATCCCTTCCAATCAAAACAAAAAGGGTATTTCATAAACCCGCTTTAGCTTATTGCCCAAAGCTACTTACTGCCCAGCTGTGGCTGGTAGGGAAGATTTGTCAAAAAGAAAAAAAAAACGAGCAAGAAAATAAATATTTTGTTTGGGTGGAATGTGGTGACATGCTTTTTATGTAAAAGCATCAAGTTAAAGGAGGCAACTCATTCATGATATATTCTGCATCTGTTTTTACTGGATACATCTGACATATAATTTTAAACATGGGGTAAATATATTTTCTTCAAAAATAATTTTTAAAAAATTTTTCTAGTGAGAATAAACCAGTTATTTTGTATAAAAGATGAATGAGGCCGGCGCCGCGGCTCACTAGGCTAATCCTCCACCTTGCGGTGCCGGCACACCGGGTTCTAGTCCCGGTCAGGGCGCCGGATTCTGTCCCAGTTGCCCCTCTTCCAGGCCAGCTCTCTGCTGTGGCCAGGGAAGGCAGTGGAGGATGGCCCAAGTGCTTGGGCCCTGCACCCTATGGGAGACCAGGATAAGCACCTGGCTCCTGCCATCGGATCAGCGTGGTGTGCCGACCACAGAGTGCCGGCCGCGGCGGCCATTGGAGGGTGAACCAATGGCAAAGGAAGACCTTTCTCTCTGTCTCTCTCTCTCTCTCTCTCTGTCCACTCTGCCTGTCAAAAAAAAAAAAAATGAACTCAAACTCCTATTACCATCTTGAAACAAGACATACACTAAAGCTTACTGAAAGAGGGAGCAGGTAAGCCACTAAGTTGGAACCCTACTACAAATGACCACCAAAATATCATCATAGATATTAAAATTATATTAAAATTCTCAGGAGAAAGCATTAAGTAATTTCAGGTGCAAAGAAAGCTTAAGTGCTTTGGAAAATTTACTGATCGTACAATTTCTGGCTAAGTCTTCCAAGGAAATAGATGACACAGCATTTAGAGATAATTATAATTTGAATGTTCCTTGTTCCTAAAATGAAATAGTAAATATAACTCCTTTGGTTTCCTAGATTGCTTTAACCTATATTTGTCCATTCATTCTTCAGAACTATACTAATGTGTGTGTGTGTGTGTGTGTGTTTATAAGACAGGACCCTCTTTTGAGAATTGTTGTTTTCTTTCTTCTGATGTCACTAAATCATTTCTTTCTTACAACGGATAAGTCTTCTCACATGAGAAATAACATAAGGGGGTTACCTGGCCCAAACACTTTTTGTACACTGAAAAAAACCTTGGGAAGTCAAAAATTGTGATACCTTTGTCCAACGAGATGGTGATTTATTGACCTGGGTGTGGCTTGGACTTTGTAGAAGCACTCTAGGTCAGCCTAATAGACAGACAAGCTTAGGAGCCAAAGATGAAGACTTTTCCGAAGTCATTTTTCTCTCCTGTAAAGTGCAGCTGTGGGTGTGTTGAAAGGGCTCACTGGTGTGGGGGTGCTAATCAAGGAGTTTCCTGAATGAGGTTCTGGAGTCTCCTGGTCTTCCCTGATCCTTGTGAGGAGCCAAAAAGGATTCCCTGATAAGATCACTTTGGGAAACAATGGGTAAATTACATTGGTTG